CACCAGTTATAAGTTCGGCTTACACTCCACAAATGTGTTCTCTGCAGTGTGCATGCAAATCATATCACAGTATTAGAACGTCATCACTCCTAAAGCAAACAATATTTCATGAGCAATATGATATGGCTGAGTCCCAGTACTCCCATCCAGATTTCTTGTAAATGAGTAAACTTAGTTATCCCCCACTGAGTATATGGTAAAAGCAGCACTTGCAGACTATGCTGCTGTCTGTAACTTATAAAACATCAATAGCAACCACAAATCCAGAAGAAGAGATATATGTGTCACTTTGTAACACTTTGAGATGAAAGGCAAGGTCAGCCCACCCTAGTCGACTTCGCAGTATTAAAAAGCTATTCTAAAAGCTGTGCATTTGCCAAATAAAATGCCAAGCAAAAAGCTAAGGGTTTATTGAGAACAAGATATAGCTGTGGGTAATGAATCAACATGTTGCCTTTTCATTTTAATTTTGTTATTTTTGATGTTCTGGGTCACTTGTTCCCTGTACTAAGTTACACCCCCCATCCTGTTCAGAGTGCCATTACAACACAATCACTATACATTTCACTAATGAAACTATTGCACATCACATCAGGTTTGTAGTTGTTGTATCTTGCTCTTGCACATTTATGAATGAGCATGCAGGAGGCTTGTGGGCTAAGCCTTTCACAGGCTTGTTTGGCTAAAGAAGGGTACAAAGACTGCTTGGGAAAGATCGTTAAATTACTTCAGGCATGTTTTTGGTAGAAAGCTCAAAAAGTAGGATTGCATAGTAGATTGATAATACCCTGCCTTAAAACACAGTAACTCCTGACTAGCAGTTTCTAGAATTCATAAAAGTGTTGTAAAAATGTGTCAATGTCTTGATTATAAAGATATGATTATGAACAGCTGACAATCAGGTGTGTGCCAATTCATTTATGACTGTGTATAATGTAGGCCCAGACATGCTGCATGCACAGTAGGGGGGAAAATATGATTTCTGAGTTTTCTGATTCAGTGTATTCAACAGCCACCATTATTGTCATTTGAACATCATACAATAGCCTCACGCATCTTGGTCTAGCTTACAAGAAGTTAAAATATTAAAATACTGCACGGCTGTTGATCATACTTTCATGCATAGAAGATTTGTAGTGTGTAATGTCAATAAAGGAAGACTTGTTAGGTCCAACAGTTGAATGACAATAGTTACCAAATAATCCCTAAAACTGTGCCCTCTATTGGTTAAAATTTGAATAATGGATTTCTTTGGAAAAGAAACTGAAACAGACATAACATGACATGTCTTTTTGAGTTTTTTTCTCCCCCTCTCATTTCACAGCTAAATTGTCACACATAAATTGTTTTCTGACCTGCCCTTGGTAAAGACCCGCATCTTGGATGGTGCTGTCCGGTTTGTTGAGAGGCTCAAATGTGTTGCTCATGTATCTGTTCCAGAGCCGTGTCTCCTTCTCATCTGGGATACTGAACAGCTTTCTCATCTCTTTCTCAATCATATCTAAAAGGTACATCAACAAAAATATTTTTGGTTTATTTCATACATATACATTATGAGCTCCATGTCATCAGTAAGGCCAAGTACATTGCAAATTAGATTATAATAAATACAGAGGAAGTTGTCAGAAAGGTGCCATTTTAAAAAAATGCAACTTGGGGGTTTGCTACCTGCTTGTGTTTGTGGAGACAATATAATTTTTCCTAAAATTTAATTAAACATATCCATCTGGAATCTATTCAATTATAAGTGTGTTTAGTGGCTAGAAAGACCTTGAAAGCTGAACACAAGTATTCTAACAGCTCGGTGAGCAGAGTTGCCTGGTGGCATCACCTGCCTGTTTCTATGGAGACACATTTAATGCCATGATTGGAACATTCTTGACAAAGCAATAGCCACTCCATGGAGACAAGCTAGTGAAGAATCTGCTACCAGAAATTGCACCTTTAATATAAAAAGCAAATGTACCATCCCGAAAACAAAGCAATAATAGTATATAATAAACTGATATCATTCTAAATGATATTACAAACACATTCACCAGCATGTGTTAACACCACATATATGAATCTTACCTATTGTGTCAGCTTTACTGAAGCGTCTGGTGATCACATTATCCATGTTACTGTCTTCACAAAGCTTAAGCTCTGTAAGGTACACTTCCACCTTACAGTGCTTCACGAACATACCCTGTTCCACCACCTTTAAAAGAATAGCAACACTAATTAGCTAAAACACACATAGGTAAATGCAGAAACATGTACTAAATCAATTCAAACTGGAAAAAATAAAAAAATAAAAAAAATCATCTTAAGTGTATAAAGTAACAATCAAATACACAACCATTTTATCAAGAATTACTGTTGCTGATGAAGTAACACACTTTTGGTTTTCTATTATTACAACACACTTATAAACCATGTGATTAATTGTATCTTTAATGATGAGTGATTGCCCAGTAAAAATGCTGTTGTGTTTGTTTCGGTTTCAAGCAGATAACAAAGTAAAGTATGTTGTCTTGATGCACTGGTTGCCATTTGCCGTCCTGATAGGAGCCGAGTCAGAGTGAGACGCCTAAATTAGCAGCACTTCGCACAGACAGCTGAGGGGTCCCAACCTATTTATTACACCACTGGGACTTTAGCACACAGCACACACACACAAATACACCAACTTCACAAAAGTTACTGGAAAATGAACACACATAGCTCCTCTTCCCCCTCACCCTCCCCACCTCAATCAAAACCTAGTTCTCTAAAGGGTCCATCCAACCACTGTACACAGCACCCATGTGTTAGCAAACTAGTATCAACTGCAAAACTGTAATCAATATCTAAAAAGAAAACTGGTCCGCCACTGCCACATCACACTCTGCTCAGAAGATTCCACACTGCCATCTCTCATAGTGACCTCAGCTGGCATTCCTCCACTTAAAAAAAAACAAGGACACGCTGAACACTCAACCGACAGTCACAGAAGAGGACAAGCCGGCAGCTACAATCCATCTACAAGTCCCATTTTTCAGGTTGTGTTCCACTACAATTAAATGACAGCAAGCCAAGAATAAAAGACAGATATTGAACCTCCTGCATGTTGTGTCTTGCAGATCGCTCCATGTAGCTTTTCAGTCATCTAGAACGTTGCCTGAAAATAGAAACCCTGCAGCCACCCGATACGTCCCACGACATACATGGCAAAAAGGGAGGGATCAACCAAACCGGGGCAAAGGAACAAGGGAGAGACTGACAGGCATAGAGGGGGAAGAGGACTCCAACGAAGCAGCCATGATGCCATGACTAATGGAATTATTTTGTAACGTATATGGAATAAATTTCCTAGTACAGTGTTTAAGCACAACTTTAGAAAATAGAGGTTCATAAGTTACAAAGTTTGGCACAAGAGCAAATATATGTGTAGAATCATAAACAGAAAAAAACTGCTTTAACCACAACACAAATTAATATATTGATTGACTGGACTGCGTTATTAATCTAATTTTAAAATGCAGTGTGATGTGATGATTACAAACTAAAGCATTTTCATCAAAACAACTAATCTTGTAGTGTAAATTCACAGTTGCTTACCTTCCGTTCTATTGGCTTCTGACCTTCTGTCAGCCCATACCAGCTGATGAGTTTATTCCAGCCCTCAGTCGGGACCAGGATGTAGTCGAGTTCATCGATAAGGTGTTCTTTGATGGCCAGTACATCCCCATCTAGAGGTGGGACAGAGTGGTATGAAAACAGTAAACCATAATTCCTGTGGTTAGACTGGCAGTGGCCTTCACAGCCTCAACAACAAAGGCCAAATGGTATGCTGGAGAGTTTTCTATGAGCAGCAAAAGGCTCATCTATTCAATTACTAGACAATGTTGTCTTTGTGTGCTTTCCTCTAAACTTCCAACACTTCTAGAAAAAAATAAAGGTTCCGCTGTAAAACTAACACTCATGGTCTCTATAAACTCTTCATCTCATGTCTAATAGTTAGGCATTATATGGCTTACCTCTGAGAAGGCCAGAATTGTCAACTGGCCCTGGGTAGACGTTCTGGTCACCCATCTGGTACTTGTCCCAACTATCAAATCCCACATATTTCTTCCACTGTTTGAACCAGTGACTATCGACCAAATACCTACAGAAAAAATAACGATAATCAGCGATGACCAAGCAAAATAATGTACACCAATTAAATTAGGGCTGATTTTGATATTTAGATTTTGATATGTGGTACTTATTACTTACGGGATTATTCAATAATTAAGTTATTTGATTAACTGTACGTGTAACATTTATAAAATAATGAGTCGTCTCATTAACGGAATGTCATGCAAGACTTATGCTACCTTCACATGCTAATGGATATACATTGATGGTTATAACAGGAGCAGTGTTAACGCCAAGCTGCAGCATGTCGAGCCAGCTGGCTGTGATTTTGACAGGTGCGTGTTTGCAGACGCCGCCCTGAACCCACTGGCAACCCACTTAAAGATTCGACATGCTAGCCAATTAGCCAGTTAGCCGTCTAAACGAAACCAACCACACTGAGATTCAATCAACTACAACATGAAGTTAGCTAAGCACAACATTTTAGAAATACATTTTCCACAGCGCAAACACTCGGCCTTTACACGACCACTTGTGAAAATACATACAGTGATCAACGTTAACAAGATACCAGCTTCTAAACTCGTGAAGCTCACTGGGGTGTGTTAGCATTTAGGAAGCTAGCTGTCAACACGGCCCGTAGCCGAGACTTTCCTTTATTTCAAAGCCATGACAACTTCAGACAAGATTATCAGTGAACAGATAGCATATTTATGAAAGTGCCTGATCAAGTCTTACCAAGTGTCCCCTTTCCTTAGCTGTGTTTTTAAGAGCGCCGTGATCTCTCCTCTCTGAGTATCCAGATCAGCCGCTCCTCCTTCCGCCATCTTTACTCAGGCATCTCACGTTGCATGCTGGGAAAGTGTGGGGCGTCACCGCGTTCACAGAGTGACGCTGCAATGACAGCCAATCAGGACTCTCCGGAAGAGCACGCTTTTTCACTATGCTAAACTTGTGTTATGGTATATGTGTTTAGTCAATTTACACAATATCGGCTTTGTTACTAAAGTATACTAGTGTGTTGATATGAAGACGGATTTATAATTCCAAAACGTCCTATTTCGGTAAATGCTTTTTCACGGGAACGCTTTTAGTTAACAAAACTGACAGCAAACACTGTTAGCTTAGCCATATTTTACAGCAATGGAAAATAAAAAGACGTTTAAATTCGTTGTTGTCGGGGGTGGTATCGCCGGAGTAACATGTGTTGAACAGGTAAACATAAGTGCAATGCTGTTTGAAATGCATATACGTTTGTTGAGAGACGTTTAGAATATCTATGTGTCCTGTTTATTGACACTATTTCTGACAGCTGGCATCACAGTTTCCATCCGCGGATCTGGCTCTGATCACTGCAGGTCCACACATCAAAGCAGTGACAAACTATAAACAGGTCCGTTTATATTGTTACACAGTAATATTCTCTAAAGCTATTACCAGAATTTGAATTGTATATAATTTGTATATATTATTATTATTATTATTATTATTATTATTATTATTATTATTTTGTATCATTCTGCGACAGGTATCCAGGACCCTGGAAGAGTTTGGTGTGGAAGAACGGCCATTCACTGTATTACAAAAGAATTATTCCAATCTCACATTTATACAGTCAGCTGTCAAAGCTCTGGATGCTAAATCACGTGTAAGTCCTCAGTCATTGAAATTATATATTTATTATGAGTAACAAACAGGCAACAGTCTGGACATTATTTGGAACCTTGATAACAAAGTTATGAAGGATAAGTATATGGATCCACCCCCATCTTGTGGACATAAGGTATTATAAAAAATTTTATAATAGTAGTGTATGCATTTGTTGTAATTGCAGTGTTTGGAGACTACAGATGGAAAAGTCTATGGATATGAAAGACTCTGTATTTGCACTGGGGCCAGACCAAAGCTTTTCACTGAAGACAATCCTTATGTGTTGGGGATAAGAGACACCGATAGTGCACAGGTAGGCAACGCAAAAATTCTGAAGGGCTATTTATGTATTAATGGCAGGGGCAGGTACTGTTAAAAGCTACTAATACTTGAAAAAGTCTGCTACTGTTAGCAGAAATAAAAATTCCAAAAACTAATAATAACTATTATTAGCTATTATTATTTATGATTATTAATATTCCTTTTCATATATTCTTATTTTAAATATATATAATAAACATATAAATTTTATATTAACAAAAAATATATATGCACACTGCTATTCAATTACTGGTACCTGGATAAAATGGAAAGGTAACCAGCTCCAATTAAGTGTAGATGGTCCATGTAGTTTGATGAGCTTTGTTGTGCCCACAAATAATTACTCATAATGTTATTGTTACATCTAGGACTTCCAGAAGCGACTGTCTCAAGCTAAAAGAATTGTTCTCATTGGAAATGGAGGCATTGCCCTTGAACTAGTGTACGTCCAGGTGATGTAAATAGATGCCTAGTAAGCAGAATGATGTTTGATTTACAATTTACAAATTTTTGTATTTACATTATTTGCACTTATTTCTACTTATTCCATATAATACGTTTTTATTTGAAACAGACATGAGGTGCAAGGCTGTGAGATGATCTGGGCTATAAAAGACAAAGCCATAGGAAACACTTTCTTTGACGCTGGTGCAGCGCAGTTCCTCATTCCGTCACTAGAGGCACACAAAGCTCAGAAACCTGTCCCCTGTAAGAGGCCTCGTTACACAGTTGAGGAAACCGCGGGGGGCACATCTCACACCTTCACTGCAGGTTGGTAATAGCAAATCTGAAACTAATCTCAGTCCTATATATTTTTGTTTTATGTATGGAGTTGTTTTTTACAGACAGAAACCACAAGGAAAACTCTGCTCCAACTCAGCATGGTAGTGCCCTTGGCCCTGACTGGCATGAAGGAATAGTTCTACAAGGAGCAGAACAGGTTAGCCAGTACATTCCTAAATGAACAGAATACTTTGAAGAGGCATGCCAGAAAAAGTTCACATCCGTCTACTATTGTTGATTGAAAGCTAACCTATGCTAGTAGTTATGGTAACTGTTATACTTCTTGTAAATCTATAAATGGAAGTCTTGGTTTACTTTCTCTCATTGGAGTCAACTACTAATCAATTATCTAAAACTTTATTATTATTATTTAAATCTTTATAGCTAGCTTATACAATAAAGCCAGCCTAAATCCTGTCCTTTCCTTCACCTGCTGCTCTGTACTCAGGGGGGCCACAGAGTAATGGTTGAATATCAGTGTGAGGTAGAGAAGATTTTTACCCCAACCGACCTGCTCAGCTCTCCTGAAAGAGTATCAAACCCTGAAACTGGTGAGAATTTGTACATAAATGCAACTTCTTATTTACGTGCTGTTTTCGAATATCTGCATATCTGTTTTTAGTTGGATCATGGCCAGTTTATATCAAATTGAGTAATGGCAAGACTTATGGTTGTGACTTTATTGTGAGTGCTACTGGTGTTGTGCCAAACACTGACCCTTTTCTTCATGGTAATAATGTAAGTATGGAGTTATAACATAATGTCAGTTTATTTTGCTGATACTTTGTAGCTTTAGAGTGTATGTTGAGAACTTACAGGGCTTAATAAAATATTTAACGTAGCCAGTGAAACAGTCATTGGCCAATAACACAATAGCAGATTAAAGACTATTGAATGTTTTCTTATTCTATCTATCTGTCTTATCTGTCTTATCTATCATCTGTCTGTCTGTCTGTCTGTCTGTGTATGTCTGTATTTTTTATTCAATTATTTATTTTTTAAAGTACTGTTTGGTGCACATTTTTATGACAATGTGATGTTACTTAACAATGATCTGTGTTTTGCAGTTTGCACTGGCTGATGATGGCGGACTTCAGGTTGATGATCAGATGCGAACTTCAGAGTCAGATGTCTATGCTGCTGGGGATGTGTGCACTGCATGCTGGAAACACAGTCCACTATGGCAACAGGTATACAACAAATAAGATCAGTGATATGTTATTAGAAAAGCAGAAAAGGGTGTACTGAATAGGTGAGTAGGTTTCAAAAAAACAATCAATTACTGAGAACTTTCATTCAAAAAGTGAGTGGTAAATCCCCAAATAAGGGTACTATACCATGGCAATAACCATTTGCACATTTTTGCTATGGAGCTAACCATAGGAGTGTGACAGTAAAAACATAAACATGTTTTGGCAATACGAAGAAGCAAACACATAACATAACAATCTCTACTCCATAATTTAACACTCACTAGGAAATGCGCTGTGTTGTATGTGAGCAGGGTTGCGTTTATTTAAATTGCACAACAAATGAGTACTGTGAGTCCACTTAAAAAAGTGGACAAAAAGAAAAGTATTAGTAAGCTTTATTGAATGAGTTATTTTTAGTGCTCAGATTCCAGCAGAAGATATTGCAGTTAGGAGATGTCTTCTTCCTGGGGCCTTGGAGAACGGAGGTGGTAGATGTGAGGTCTAGGAGAGTGAAGGGAATGATGATGATGAAGCTGGGGGGGTCCCTGGGAGAACCTGGGCAGTTTTGCATCTGCAATGAGGGTTTAAATTGGACAGCCTGTGAAGGTGTTCCTGACTGTCTGTGCTTGTATACATATAGATGTGCGTGTATGTTCCTGTGTAGGCAGGTGCGTGCATGCATGTGTGCGAATGTATGCACATGTACATATATATCAGAGAGGGGGGAGCATTCAGATCAGGAGGTGGTCCGTCGAGGGGCTGGCCAGCCTGATTGGTTGGCGGTCGCATGGGGGCCACCCCCACATCCCGCCACGGGGTGTGTGGGCGTGGCTCAGCCTGCTCCGACTTGAGTGGGAATCTGAGGCAAACCTCCAACACACTTAAGTTAAGTTAACTTAACTTATTTTCAATACTCAAATTAACTAGTAACAATACATATGCATTATATGCACACACACAAACACACACACACACACACATAATGTCCAGCGTTTGTATCTTGTACATCTGTAATGTATGTAGTTTCCAAATAACATTATTTAAAAAAATAAATACATAAAAAATGAAATTGGACAGCCTGAGTGCTGATTGGACGAGGAGGAGGTGCAGCGAGTAGTGGGAAGGAGTAAAGTGACTGAGGTGATGAAGATTGAGGATAAGACAGGGTAATTCATAAAATTAATTTGATTTAATTTAGGTGTTTTAATAATTGAGATTTTGAGAAATTACAAAATTGTGAAATCGAAAATGATTATGTAACAAGTTTCCTTCTGACTTTTTAACTTGCAAAGCAGGGTTATTTTGCTCTTACAATTAGATATTTCTACAAATGTAATTTAAGGCAGTATACATTTTCTTAAATAATGGCATATGATGAGAATGAAAATGTTAAGAGCCCCTGTTTGAGAGATTTTGATTCAATCACAATCGTCTAGTGAGTACAAATAAATTTAAGATTTTATTTTTTTGGCCATATCAGCCAGCCCTAGCTAAGGATCAAGTAATCACTGAAGAAGCTGTGAGGTAGATGGGAGCACAGTTGGGTCTTCCAGGCTGAATTTACATTAGGTCCATATTAATTTTCAGCAGGCCATCAGGCTCACAGCTTAATGTTTAAACTCCTTCCTGATTAAATCTCTATTCCTTCTTGGCCTAAGGCCAACTGTGACATACATCTTTCTTTACTGGAGAATCTGTGGGAAAGAAGAAACGTTCAGAAATTAATCAAGGGCAGAGTAAGTCAGTCATTAACAAGCCTCCTTACAAAAGTGCTGCAGCTGTGCGTCATTTCTTACCAAGTGTAGCTAGATTTATTGCTGTGTTATTACAATTAAAGGAGCACTATGTACGGTAACTTTTCTGGTGGAGATGATTGGGGGTCCGCCACCTGTTTGCCTCTAAGGAGTTGTTGCTATACCAAAAATGTAGTATAGACTGATCTGTAATTTGACCTGGTGTCCACTGCTTGTGTCCATGGAGATGGATATGTTTAATGCCACTGGGGCATTCGAGGCAAAGCAGTATCAACTCCATATCCCTTTAACCCTTTTCACCAGAGCTCTGTGTGTGTTCTGTGCTCAGATGCGGTTGTGGACTCAAGCTCGTCAGATGGGCTGGCACGCTGCTCGCTGTATGGCTGCACATGTCCTCTCAGAGCCCATCGAGTTAGACTTCTGCTTTGAACTTTTCTCACATATTACAAAGTTCTTTAACTATAAGGTATGCCACACTGTATTGCTCAATCTGCTGCATTATTATAATGAATTCAAAAATGTTCCTGAAGGCTAATTATTACTATGCATTATTATAACTTAATTCCAAGTGCACTTAAGTTTATTTCAACAAGTTTTTTTACTTTTAGGTGGTACTCTTGGGAAAATTCAATGCCCAAGGTTTAGGGCCCAACTATGAGCTGCTTGTGCGCTGTACCAAAGGACAAGAGTATGTCAAGGTAAAGCACATAAGAAACATTTAATCTGGTCTTTGTAGTTATTATGTTGAAGGGAACATATTGAGCTCAAGGAAACCTTTGTCAACAGTCTCATTGTATTACAAAAAATTACATTTTGTTACTCCCTTGTCACAATGTAATTTCAAGATCGGCACATACGCAATATACAATTTTCTTCACAGTAAGTGGAGAAGTGGAGGCTGTGTCTGTTGCTGTGATCTTATCCATATGATCTGGTCACTATTTGATATGATTCTATTGATAGATCAAAATTTCACTCTATGGAATACAATGAGTCATTTTGTTTGTTAGGCTATGAACCTAGGAAACACAGATTAAACCCAAGTTAGTTTAACTTCTTCGTTTCTTTAAAACCCAGCTAAACTAACTTGGCCAAACATGTTCATTTTGTCTTATGTACTCTTGGGTACTTTTTGAGTTCTTTTTTAAAGAAAGTACTGCAAACTGTATTTACACAGTGCCATCACCAACAACACCGGTGACAGTTCTGAAGATGGCTTGCAGCTAGCAGCCGAAACATGTTAACAAGGTAAATACACTATACTGTACTGTCAAGAACCAAGAAGTACCCAGGAGTACATAAGAAGACAAAATGAACATCTGTGGCCAAGTTAGATTAGCTTTATTAAATAATATGGTATATTATCACTACTAAATTCTCCATTCTCCATTACCACAACTTAATCAGCACCTACTTTAACAGGGTTATGTATGGAGTGTTGAATGACTAAATAGACTAATGCAAGGAATATCACATGAACAGGTCATGTGTTATTGGCACACCCTGAGAAACATCAAAGCTTTGTCTCCTCAAGAGTTATTCCATGTAATAAGTTCTGTGGAGTATAGTGCCTAGGCTAATTGTCATTGTGATTTTTGGGTTAGGTGGTTTTAAGTGGAGGAAGGATGGTGGGAGCCGTGCTGATTGGAGAGACTGACCTGGAGGAGACCTTTGAGAACCTCATCCTGAACCAGATGGACCTGACACCATACGGAGAGGATCTGCTCAACCCAAACATCGACATTGAAGACTACTTTGACTGAAGACTGTGGGGGCCGGGCTGAGAGATTGTATTGCATGTAAAGTTTACAGGATTGTGGAAAAATAATACTTTAAAGGCCTTTCCTAAGTTGTGAGAGTCTCTTAAAGTTGCACCTATAAATATATATTTTTTGATTATACATATTTTTTACTGGAACTAATCATTAAATTTATTCCAGCAATAACTACTCACAATAAGAAGAATACACAATGAATTAGTAGCAACTGTCCCCACTTGAATCTAATGCCAAACACTAAGTTAAAAGTAAACCTATACTGCACATTAAAAGCTGATGTAATTTTCTTCTTTATGTTATCAGAATAGGATATGTTCAACAATACGTGTGGTAAAATAAAAGACTTTTGTTACTATGTAAGTGATACATGTTCATATTTCGGGTTAAACAGCACTGATGGCTCACCCTGTGTCTCTGTGGATGCTACAACAATAGGCACTATCACATTCTCATAAAGCTGTTCATTGTGGGGAGGATGTGGCGCTTATAGGATGTGTTTGTTTACAAAAAGAACAGGAAAGTGAGGTAGATTTATCTCTGCTCCTGGGAATTTTCAGTCTGTGAAATGGCACAGCCACCTATTACCTCATGTTGGTTTGACAAAGAATTGCATTTACCCAGACAAAATGTTACTTAGGTAGTTTGGTGAACAGTTTATTACCAAGAACCTCTAATGTTGTCGGGAAGAGCTGCAATTTGGATCAGTTGGATCCCCTTCACTTCAGACTCTAATCTTTCTGTTTAAAGCAGTTTTAACAATAACTTATGTAGTTCTGTCTCCTTACAATATCAACCTACAGTATCCTCATAAATATCCTTGTTCATTCTCTGACTTTCCAATGGGTTGATTCTAGTGTACAGACTGCAACAGTGTGAAGAAAGGAAAATGGTTTGCTTTAGCAAGTAAGCAGTTAATTGTTGCATCAGGATGGTTAAATTGTTTCTGAAAGGTGACCTGAGTGCTTGCCACATATGTTTTGGGTTAAAGGTCTCCGGGAACCTGTCCACTCTTGCTCCACAGCTTTGGCTGATAAGGGATGATATAATTTACAGTTGGAGCTTATGCAAATTGTCTTACATCTGGCATAGCACTGGGCATAAATGTTTTATATATCATGTAAAAAAAAAAACTCAACAGGTGTATAAAGGTTATTCAGCACCTTGCCCTTGTCTCACTTATTCACACTACTGGCAGAATTAGGCATTCATTAGACAGTAGTTAATCTTTAATCTTCTTTTTTGTTCGTTTTTTTTCCCCCTAATACCACTCATTGTTATTTTAAATAGTTTGGGCTGTCATTTTGTTATGTGTAGACTACATATCTTATTAGCCTAACAATCAAGGTCGCTGTGGTGGCCTTACACACCCCCACTGTGGTGCCACCGTAGACTCAATAATATACAGTTTATGGATGCACAGGGACAAGTGCACTGAGAAATCACATTCCTCGTCGGTGTCTGTGGAGCTATTGGCCCACCTCACTGTAAGAGGATTCATGACATTTTTCTGAGGCAGTGACATTTAAAAATAACGCCCAGTGGATCAGGCCATGGATCAGACGAGACGATACAAATCTCATTTCATTCAAGTAGATTACGGATGTGACGTCTGCGGTGCGGCGTTTGTCTAAGGTGCGTTCGTTTTGTTCTTCGTTATAATGCGGCGCAAGGCTTTCATATAAATTTTTAGCTGTTTTTGTAGAGATACTCGTTTATTTCCCAGGAGCTGTGCTATGAATTTGTCTCTGGCTTCTCTAAACATTGCTTGTCATTTATAAAAGTATATTATGTGTTGAGCTCAACGAGTGTACTATTATATCAAGCGCTTCCAGTGAGTCACTCGCCTACCGCCCGTCGTGTCCCATGGTCGCGTCGTGCACCGGCTCTGTTTTTTTCCTTTCCCTTGACTGTGGGAGGGACTTCTGGAGAGGCGTTGCTGCACGTCGACCACTCTTGGATCATATACTTGCTTTTACAGTCACGCATTTCATACACAGTGCTCATCATCTCACCTAGACGCACCTGTAACAATCGGCGGATTTTCGGAATAAATCGCACAACATGGCCAAATACATCCATGTCCCCGACGAGGCGCCCGCTGTGCCCAAAATAGACGTGACAGTGGACGAAAACGACTACCGACCCGATGCGCTGAAGCTCATCAAGGAGCTCCGACCAAACTGGAAGCCCTCTGAGGTCAAAATGAAGGTGTGGTTCATGTTAAACTTTATATTATCACGTTTGTTTTAACATATATGACTGACCACTAGCTATGTGCGAATGACTGCGTGTGTGCAATATGCAACAAAATCATAGGCTGCACTGCTTAATACAGTTCAATTATTATGAGTCATCCATCCAAATGGGTGATGTTGCTATTATATGCACTGTGCTATATTTGGATGTCACTAACCTACTCTTTCCTATTCATTGACCCACATCTGCGTCAAATCGTGCCATCGCTTAACAATGGGTGGCTCTGCGTCACCAAACTGGATAGGTTTTAGCTCTGTTACGCTCTTCTTGAATCCTAAACAAAAATACAAAAATGCATTCATCTCCCACTAGTGACTATGTTGTGTGCAAGTTAACTACTGTGGTTAGAGCGGAAACGAGTGACGCTTGATACCCTGCTAAGCTGACACGTCTACTATGACATTTAGAGCTATCTGTCAGCTTATTCCAAAATAACTATCGCATCTTGTCCCAATGACCGCCTTTCCTGAACAGCCTACAGCAAGAAATGTGCATAGGTACATGATTACGTAACGGATTGCTGGGAATTCGAAGTATTTATCCACAGTGCAAAACTATAAGGAGCTCAGGAGTAAACTGTGCTTGTTGTTACTGTGCAGTTGGTGGTAAATTAAACAGCTACAACATGTAAACTAAGCAAATATCCCTGGACAAGAGCACTGAGTGGAGCAAATTTACCCCTAGAGACTGGGGGTGTGGCTCGTTGTGGTAAAAACATTGGGAAAGGGAGGTGCTCACATGATCCACTCCAGCCTTATTTTCATCAATGTGGGCAAATGGATACTCAGCAAATGCCTGTCATTGCTTCAGTGTAGAAAATAAAATTCCTAACAATCCTGTCGTTCCCAGTCAATCCCTCATAGAATGAACACATTGAGTTGGCATGTTTTGTGAGCTTTTTTTTCTTTACATCAGTTTCACCAATAAAACATGCACAATAGGTAAAATCCTCCAGCTAAGGTAGTACTCAGTCAAATGCAAAGTTAAAATTTCCATACAGGGACGATAATTATGCTTTAACCTTAATGTATGCTGTACACCAATAAGCAGAGATTTAACACACGTCATTTCCTGTCTTAAACATGTTTTTTGCTTTCTCTTGTTATTACAGTTCTTCACAGATGGAATAACCAACAAACTGCTGGGATGCTATGTGGGCCCTGTGATGAAGGACGTGGTTCTGGTTCGTATTTATGGAAACAAAACTGAGCTGCTGGTGGACAGAGACAATGAAGTGAAGAGTTTCCGAGTGCTGCAGGCCCATCGCTGTGCTCCTGCCCTGTACTGCACCTTCAATAACGGACTGTGCTATGAATTTCTTCAAGGAACGGCCCTGGAGCCAGAACACATTCGCAGCCAGCCTGTTTTCCGGTAAATGTTCTTCTGTTTTGTGAACAACAATAAAGGTCACATTGTTACCACAATACAATAGGTGAATTTGTTGGGAAAATGTTAAAAAACACATTTTTCATTGGTTTAATGAATGTTTAATCCCTCTCTAGACTCATTGCCAGGCAGCTTGCCAAATACCATGCCATCCATGCGCACAATGGCTGGGTACCTCAGTCTGACCTGTGGCTGAAAATGGGAAAGTACTTTGCCCTTATCCCCAAATATTTCAGTGATCCAGAGCGTCACACAAGGTGAGATCTTTGCACTGCCGAAACATGTCTTTGACCTAGTCATTTTCGTCAGGGTTTACACCTACTTTATTGTGTAAAATATTGAAAAAACTAAATTAAATATTCCATTAATTTATTTGTAGGTTTCAATAAATATTCATGCAGCAATTTAGCAATTGCAAATGTAGCTATATTTAGTTGTGAAACACGTGGCTGACAACTTTGTGTATGATTCCTGTGGTGTAGTAAGCCCGCACTTAACCTTGTTATCACTGTGAGATATACACTGAGTAGTTGTGTGTTATTGTACAAACCAAGTCATTATCACTAAGACAACATCACAAGGAGCAATATTACTACCGGAAGTGAGTAGGGGTGACTCAACCACCAGGCAAAACAGAAAGTAAAAAGCATTTTTGAAGAGTACTCCAGACATGCAACAGAGACATGCTGTTTATGCATTATTGCACATATAAATGTTACACATCATACAAATTTAAATGTATGTAGTTGCTATTCATCCATTCTTTGAGATAAACTCAATGTTTCTTTACAGTAGGGATAACTCTGATACTGGCTATTGTGTTAATACACTGAAGGGCAAGCTCCTACATTAGCATACAACTGTATTCATGTCATCATCCCTGTAACAAAACCTGTTCTGGGTTGTAGTGTGTGAAAACATACATTCTGTCAAGTTGGTCATGGTCATGTGCGCTTGTTCCTGTTTCACCTCCGGCTTCTCTTCAGTTTTTATTTATATTTCTTTTTCTAACTTTGGTTACTTGTCTTGAACCTGGTCTCTCATTATTTCTTCACAGACTTACTACAGAGGTGCCCAGTCCGTGCTGCCTCAGAGAAGAGCTGCTTTGGCTGCAGCAGCACCTGTGCCAGCTGGGCTCCCCTGTCGTCCTCTGCCACAATGACCTGCTTTGCAAGAACATCATCTACAACAAGGAAGCTGGTGCGTGTTTCCGCAACTGTAAGGCTTAAGCGTGATATTGTGTGTCTGTTTGAAATGGACTGGCCCGGGACTTGGTGAGCCCTAATCACATGCTTCACTCATTGTCAGTATTTATATTGAGCTCTACAAATACAACAGGCAGATCACCCCTTTGTTAAGAGTATTGCTTTAGACAAGAAGAGACCCATTCTTTCCACCATACATAAACATTGCATACAATATAATTAATTCAATTTTAATTACTTACGAGCAGTTATACTCTGTTAAATTTAAATCATTTTTTTTCTGACCTGTTCTAATTGTAAGCTCAACACACAAAACAAACCACTATTAATAGCCTAAACAATTGTTGAATTTAGTGTACCTTTATTGACTACTCCACTTTGGTGGTTTTGATGGCAAGGGAATTTATTAATAAACTTAAGTGATATATTTCTTATCTTGTAGTATAATGATGTATCAGAACTAAGGAGTCTGTGCAAAGTGGGTGTTTTGGAGTCACTTTCATTCTAGCATGGGTGGGGTCTTCTCTCACCTCCTTATGTTTAGCATTTTTCCCCCAGGACTGTGGCTGCCCTGCACCATGCATCTCTGGGATAATAAACACATGCAGCGCTGCTCAGAGACTTCAATAGAAGCTTATTTCTGTACCTATCACTGTCCACCAGAACTCCTCAACACATAGTGCATACAGGAGTTATACTAGAAATGATTATTTGCAATCACAATTTAAAAAGGAAACACATCAGATCATTTTCCTTTTATGCCTACATCATTTACTTTAGTGCAATTTTATGTTCCTGAGCGACATCTCACAAACCAGCCACAGGTTTGTACATGGCTCAAGGCCATAATTTCATGACTTCCTGGTCACAAGTTTCGACCAACATTCCTGTTTGACTGGTATGGCCACATGACCTGCAGTCTTCTCATCAAAGCACACATCGTTTGTAGCCGCTCATATTTAGAAGTGGTTAAAGTAGTACAACATATATTAACATTTTAGATAGTTTCCAAAGCCGCGTGACTGAGGCTGTTTATCAGTACCTCAACTGAACTCCAATGTTTCCAAGAAGAATGTACACTTTGTACTTAGGCGAGGGCCACATCACCCTAAAGGAAGTCTGTTAAAGTTTGTCATACAAAGTGTCATGTCTTTGGGCCCAGAGGGAACCAATCAGAACAGAGCTTTGAAGGGGTGTGTTGTGGGATAGGAACTCAAATGCTTTGTCTGATGTTGCAGCTCCCCTCATGAACATGGTTAAAAAGTCAGTTAGAGAGTGAGCATGTGTGAAAGATGTGTTTGCCCCAACCTTTTCATCTGCTGCACAGGGGGGCTATAGCCACTGCCTGGAGGTGTTCATTGTGTCCCGCTAGGACCTACACGGCGCCGGGTAACCCACCTCAAAGTGTCTTTCTCTGTAGTCCACCACCTCAAAAACTATTTAGATATTATAATAAACGCTACTGTGTAGACATTTCTAAACTTAAGATTTCATTGCACATTTAATGCAATGATGTCAGTTTAAGTAGGGCTTGGGAAAAAAAGGGTTTGGATTTTGTGAACCATTGCTACCTGTTTCCTAAACTAATATATTTTTATCACCTGTTTCCACTCCCTCTGCTCACTGTAACTGTATTAAGTGGATTATCAAATAATAAAGTTGGCAATTGAAATAATAGTTTATGCTCCAGGCATGAACATAAAGTGTTGAACAACTCATAACTTTCTTAATGCATGTGGACATTTACCATCACACGATTAAAAGTCAATTGTGGATGGTTGTACTTAAGAGCTCAGCCCATTCAGGCCGCCCTTGCTGTGCTGCTTGAGTATACTAAGGCTTTAGACAAACAGCTGATCTGTGACAGAGCAGGAGATCAGGAAACTGGGTTTCCATAGAACTAACCTGTTCTTCTTTCATTTGCTCTTTCTAACCTTCTTCTGCTATTGCATTTTGCCCTGTTGCTCTGTATTTATTAACACACCTTAGTTAATTTCTGTATTTTCTGCATGTTTTATATATACCGTATTACCTGGAAAGTGACATATAATTAGATTATTTTTTCCTGTCTGTCCATTGTTTCGTGTCATGCTTTGCGCCTTTATGTCAGCTAATTAATCCCTGATCTCTGTTTTCCAGATTCTGGGAAAAGGGAAGATAATACTTTTACATATGGTCTTAATTTTGTTTTACCATCTCTTTAATAACAAACTCAACAGTGTCTAGGCTTTAGTTAAACACCTGTTGAATCATACGTGTAGAGCTTTTACATTATCTACCTCTATAGCAACCCATCTTTCCTTATTTATTCAGCTTTTATTTACTGTTTTCCAAAATGCAAACTCTTCATCCCTGCCCTGACTATTGGTCTATCAACGTAACAGTAGAGATCACATAATGCGAACTTGACAACTTCACTTATTAAACGGCAAACGCATCATCATCATTCTGGCGTTCTCTCTGTTAATGATGTTTTTTCTCTTTTCAGGAAACGTAAAGTTTATAGACTACGAGTATGCTGGGTACAATTACCAAGCCTACGACATTGGGAACCACTTCAATGAGTTTGCAGGTAAGTATTTGAAAAAAGAAATGACTTTCCCCCCCCCCCCCAGATTTTCCCCCCAAAGTACTGATGACAAATACCCCGCTGTCATGGTTTAGGTATCGATGAGGTGGACTACAGCCAGTACCCTGATCGGGGCTTCCAGCTGATGTGGCTGCGCTCCTATCTAGAGGCCTACAAAGAGCACAAAGGCCAGACCACTGATGTGACAGACAAAGAGGTGGAGACACTTTACATCCAAGTCAACAAGTTTGCTTTGGTATGTATAAGATTTTATCACAAGACACTGTCCACTATAGATTAAATGTTAGAAAAATAGCATCACTTTTCATTGTTTTCATTGCAACGGCCATTTTGGTCAAAATTGAAACTTTAACCATGCGGGAAGAGACCCTGAAGTAGAAATCATGATTTTTATGTCCCAATGACTTCTTTATTTATATTTTCTTGGAATTTCTTAGAAATGAATAATCATAAAACATTAATTTACCTTTATTGGTTTAGCTCCTCTGCACTGAATAGATTTTTGTGAGTGTTGCCTCAGTACACAGTAGCTGCCGTGTCTGTGGGTTAAACAAAAGTACATATTGATAAGGGCTGCATAAGCCACCCTGTTACACAATTATGGTTCTTTGAAAGTTGCTGGGTGTGTTTTTTTTATGCAGTTGACATGTGGGTGGGTGGTTCACTCTATAAACAGTGCTTACCAACTCTGGCACTTGTCCCATGAGTCAGCTTTGTTTACTGTCAAGCTGAAAAGAGGGCAGAGGGGAGGATGGGCTTATCATTGTCTTGTGTGTCAGTTATTTGCGGTTGCCATAGAGCTGCTGCTGCTTGAGTAGTTTGTTGTGTAATTATTGAGGATGCTTAGATCAATGTTCAGCATTTGTGGATTATTTTTTTATTTATGTTTTCACAGGCTTCTCATTTCTTCTGGGGGCTTTGGGCACTGATTCAAGCCAAGTTTTCAACCATTGATTTTGACTTCTTGGGGTATGTTTTGAAGAAAAAAAAAACAAAAAACAAAAAAAACAAGATAACCAGTGCTTCACTAACATTTGATACACATTATTAGATTGTAGGTAGTTGTGAAAGAGATTTTTTTTCTATAGCAAAAAATAGCCTTTCAATATTGCGCACACGCACACATCAGTTTTATAAGCATATTCAGTTTAACATTTCCACAGTGATTACATAGAACAACCAGTGATCTTATCAATAATAGATAAGTATTGTATGATAGTATGAAAACAAGTTGAATTTTAACAAATATTTATACTAAAGTAATTGGATGACATGAGACCACATTGTAACATTGAGGAAACTATTATTATTTTATGTTGAAAATTACATTCTATGTGTAAAAAAGACTGTTTATCTTTATCATTTTCATACTGAGCCCATAGTATTGAAATAAATTTAGAATTTTTAGTATTGTAACAACACAGTTATCAGGATTACTTGAATAATTATCCCAATACCATTATTCAGTATCAAATTCATTCCTTTTTTTTTTTATTTACTTGTAGATATGCAGTTGTACGGTTCAGCCAATACTTCAAGATGAAACCTGAAGTGACTGTGTTGACCTTACCAGAATAAGGATCCAGCCTTCTTCAATTTCTTCTCCTCTTCCCCTGCTCCCGCCCTGCACTGGCCTCATACGGAGACTGAAGAGCGCTCTCTAGAGGTCTTTGTAGGAATGAGCACGACTGGGAGTCCGACCTTTCCAGGTCAAACTCTCCAACATGTTCTCTTCAGTGAGCAAGTGGATCACAACCATCTTATCCATTATTCTCAGTCACACCATGTTGAAGTAAGGAGGTGCCCAAATTATGATAACTGAATATAAATTATGTTTATTTATTATATGTGGGCAAGAGTGGAAATCCTACTACAATAATGTGAATCTCTCTATTTATTTATACTTCTCATTTGTTTTAATAATATCAACTTTGTAATCACAAATTTAGTCACTGGGAATTTTGAAACTGTTTAATCTTTTAATCAACTTATTAACTTCAGCCTGTATGATAAATGTAGCATATTTACATACATACAGCTACATTTGGATTTGCTCTTTTAAAGCAAAGAAGTTGAATATAGAGACAGTAACTTCATTTTTTGCTACTATACCACATACTTGGTCAGATTTAAAAAGTGAAATTTCATGTTGAGAAAGAAATATCAAAATTCCTTTGGACCTTAAATGCAGACAGAACGTTTTGTTTGTTGTGGTACGTAATGGGAAAACAATGCAACACTATAATTATCTAGTGTTGTCTTAAATGAACACGTCACTCACCCTGTGACTTCTTTTTTTTTTTTTTTTTAACCACATGTACTCATAATAGTTACATAATGTAACCATTCTGTTCTCATTGCTGTGCACTTCCAAGATGGCTTATTTAACGAGTTGGCAACAACTTGCAGTGCTTAGGAAGACAGGAATTGGTTTACAAAGTTAAACAGAACTATATAATCTTACTGTAATTTCAACATTCCCATACAGGGGTATGTTCATAATTCAAGTTGGTTATTGATGCCAACAGCTATAGCCATGTCACTGTATATCAATGTGATCCGTCATTCGTCCAGGAGTGGTCCAAGGTAGAAAGTTTCCAAGGTAGTCATCGAGACAATGATTTCAAGACATTTTGGCTGGCTGCCATCCAGACGACTTCTTTTGAACCTTTTCTACCATGCCCCTCCATATAAATACACATGCACTGTTAAGAAAGATATGTTATCAACACTGCAATGTATTTTTTTTTATGGGGGAGAACCTTATTGTATAGCCTCTGTTTAGTTTTTTTTAAGTTGTTTATTTTTTTGTACTGTAGATGGGTCTTCTCTTACTGACAGATTACTAGTATTGCATCACTGTTGGCATTTATAATTTGAAGTGCCTCATTGAAGTTTGCACAAAAGAGCAGAGCTAGTTAATTACATTTTTGTTGCTTGATTTGCATTTAAAGACACACTACCAGCTTACGATAGGGACCTGTGAAGCAAAACTGTAATTATTAAATACAATGGAGTTTATAAGATAGTGTACTTTATACCATTAATAATGTTTAAATGTGCCTTGAGCAGGTTTTGGCCACTGTAGAGCTCACACCAAAGTGCAAAGTCTGCAAATTACTGTACATGAAGCACACTGTAGTAACAAGGGCCATAACAACATAGTATAATTGTATATGTAAAGTTTTCATGAGGGTTCTGGCTTAACACAGTTACATGTGTGTACATGCAAGAATTCAGATTCAAATTCATTCCTCATCTGTGGAACAACATCGGGGTCCAAACCTTGGTTGATAAATTACTTTCATGCTCCCAAACTGGTCTGTTTGGCAGCCTGCAAAGTTACATGAAGATGTTACATAATTTAAGGTTAAGGTATGTTGCTTATGCAATACAAATGTGAAGTTCGCAGATAGACTTGGTAATGTTTATGGATGATTCAGAAATTGTTAATAAATGTTTAAGCATCTTCCATAAATGGATAAGTGTATGTGAATAGGCAGGCAGTGCTAGCAATGAGCAAAAATGTCCCTGATTCTGGGAACATGTTTTGGGCAGCACTTACTGGACATGCTAACTAATGTGTTTTAAATATATTTAAACTAAAACCAAACATATTCCAGCTAAGTTCTGGTTTTCTCTGAAAGAATCCACACGCGCAGCGCAAATCATCTCGCCTTCTAACACTTGTGATTTTCTGTCTAACAATGCAAATGTCCACTGTAGCATATGTCAATATGTACAGTAATCTTGTCAAATAATCAATGATTGTACATAGAGGGAGGAACTTTATTTTCTTTTATAAAAGTTGCATTTAACAATAATTATTCACTATTTCAATACTTTGAAAATGCTTTTCAAATAAAATGTATTTACCATTAACTCAATATGAACTCTTGTCATGTATATACAAAGGAAGAAAGCAACTCAAGTGTGACATCTACATGTGATTTGTTAGAGATGTAAATTCAAATACCACAGAATTTGAATTTACCTTACTCTCTTGTACTCTCCTCTAAAGGGCCTATGTTACGCTGATCTATGTTACAACGTTGTTTCCTCATCACAACACACAAATCCTGCATATTTAGGCTGAGTTCTTCTCTCAGACAGAAAACACTGTTCCACTCTGTCATACAATAATACAGGAAGTGCTTCCCTGTACTTTTAAACTCAGTACACCTTCACTTGGATAATTTCAGACCTGGAATTACTGGTCTCTAGTAAACAAAAGCTAAAAGGTTGCTCTTTACTTGAAAACTGCAGCTTTTTGACATCACAAGTTGGTGTAGGACATTTTGGGCTTTGGAGATGCAAACAAACTAATAATAAAGGTGGCTTAAACATGCACAAATGAAACAAAACACAACTCCAGGCATGTTTTTGAGAAAGTTACAACATTCTAAAAAGGCTTAAAGCTTACAAGGGTCAATTTTGCAAAATACAGGACCTTTAAAGTGGACATATGCTTTTTTGTTGGTATTCATGACCTTCATAGATCATGCACATTCACCACATTATCTGTAAGCCACATTAGATCAAAAATAGTTTAATCTGGTGACCGAGTTGAAGTCTACATCTGATTTCTTCAACTGAAATACTACCTTGACTAAACCCATGGAGGAACACAGTTATAACATGGTGAAAAAGCTCATAAATTAAATTTTACATAATCTTCTCCCTCAGGTCTGTTAGAAGCACTGGACTCCACTTTAATATAAATTAATAGAAAGAGGGTCCAATTTCAGGCCCTTGTTTGCTCCTCTGTGTCTCTTTAAACCTTTCCCTTTTAATTTTTGAGCCATTCATAGGGATGGACATGGGTCTTATTCAGACAGAGGTAGTGGCGTTTTCCTGCCAGTAGAGGGAGCTAGAACTGCATAAATCCATGGCTCTAAAGAAAATAACTACACCACTGTGGGACATTTTGGGCGTAATTTATTTATTGTTCAAAATACTCAAATTGACTAAACTATATAATATTGTACGAAATGCCCTTAACAGTCATGTTACTCATCTGGATCACATTTTATCTGTAAAATTAAATGCCCAGTCTCAATGCCCCAATAAAGTAAAACAAATAAATAAATTAATAATATAAATATAAATTCTATTAATGGAAAAGATTGTAGGCCTAAGCCATGGTTAAATTTCAATCAAGATGTCTTCTAAAAACATGTAGCCAATAGGTTTATGCTTCATTTCTCCACTAGATGGCAGCTTAAACCATGAAAAATAACAACAATATTTACACTTGTCTTGACTGCCTCAAAGCTTACAGCCTTCAAAAAGAATCATATCATGTCCATATTAAGACATTGCTAGACTATACAGTTTTTAACCTTTATTTTGTCTCTTTCCAGAAAGTATAAGCCTTGTAAAATTGTTTGTGAAAGGTTGTTTAGCTTATAGCATCTTTGTAAGAAATTCAATTTAAAAGTATTTATTTATTTATTTTTTTACTTATTTATTTGTGCTGAAAAGTGCAGTAATTACATAAAGACTTTTGCTGTTGTGCTGTTAATCGTCTCTTGGGTTGAATTAGCCTCTCATTCTCGCCTCACAACCCAAACTAAACAACTCATTTCTTCTTCCCATTCTCTTCAAGCAAAATCAGGCCTGCCTTCAGTCCCCCTAATGTGAGCACTGTCTTGTACAGTCAAACAATTACAACAGTGCATTATCCAAGTCGCTGACTATAATTCAATTAACTGCCTCCCCCCGGCTCCATCCGCCCGCATAATACACACATTAATTAACAACAGAATCCAATATCGTCCTCTGCGCCCACACTTATTTTCATTTCTCATAAAAAGGTCATAGCAGCCACTTCCCGCTGAACACAATTGCTGTAAGTGTGGAGTAATGGATTAGAAATGCGTACAGGCTGTTGTTGGCTCTGAGAAAACAGCTCGCCAAAACCAGTTACATAGTGCACCTTTTTTTTTTTTTTTTTAATTAAAGATGTTCTATGTAACTTTTAAGGTGCATGTTATAACACCACCAGATCAGAATAGATCAGAATGCATGTGTATTTAGATATTTTCATAAACAAACATAAAAAACAAAAAAACTGTAAATGCAACACAGATAAGTTTAATGCCACACTGTGAAACTTTCTGGGCAGAGCAATAACCATTATTAACATTTCTTTACTCAGTTATCCTGGGATTAGTTTAGACCTATAGCTGGTAGTCAGTAGTGAGAATCCACTTGAGGCAAAATGCATCTTTGTCTGCCTCAGGGCAGCTGTAACTACAAAATACATACGTGATATACCCAAAAGATTAACTAATTTGGAGATGGGTGTTTTAACAAGAAATATTGGTGGTTTATTCAGTTCTCTCCCCAAACTATGCTTGGAAAATGTAATTGCTTAAAAATGTGCACCACAGTTACACATACTTTGTTATTGCTGCAAAACTGTGCAATGGCCTGTAAATATCCTCTCGCCTACAAAACAAAAGGAAAACCATTACCACTTTATTTGTCAGACACTCTGAGAAAAAGACGAGATGCGAGATAAATCAAAACACACTCAGTGATTAATGCAGCTGAGTGCAACCATTCTGAAGGTCAGGGTGCAAACGCAGACAATACCCCGGTGTTGAGGGGCGCGTGGGGGTCAGGGCAGACGGGCTCATCCCATTCACTGCGCCAACCTAATTACCAGTGTAGAGAAGAAGCAGTAATTAGCACACCGCCTCACCTCGCTGTTCACAAAGAGCCTCTTCTTTCTATTTATATGTGATTAATGGCTTGCTTAAACACATCGAGATATTTATGTTTCTGTTAATTGTGTGCAGCTTGTGTCTACCCCTGGCTGGAGCTCGTAGCCCACCTCCTTCTCATTATTGTAAACCACAACTTAGCGTTTTCCTCCAAACAGTCGAAGCCACTAAAAGGCTGTAATTTGCCTCATACCTGATTTGTTTCTTAGTCATAATTAGCCCATTAGACGAGATGCGTGTTCTCTGTTTCACCACTGCAGGAGGTACAAGTCTTTAAGCAACCATTTTCACTTGTTTTAGTGCCTCACGGAAATCTAAGTTTGAGGCACAGGGTTAAAAGCACATAAAGATTACCCTAAATAAGCCCTTTAATAAAAAAAAAAAAAAGTGCTACAATTGTGTAACAGCTTGCAACTAGATTGACGAGGGCAATATTCTAACGGTGTTAATTCATAATGAACAAGTAGTTTATTAAGAATAACTTGGTCACTATTTAATTAATACCCTAACCTAAACTCTTAAACTTTACTCACTTAATTAAGTACTAACTAACCTGAATTATTCTTAATAACATAGTGACATGGAGGAGTAGCGGCTCTACTCCAAGCTCCTCCCGTGTGACGGAGATCCTCACCCAGTCTCTACAGGAGCACCGAGCTACCCTGCAGAGAAAATTCATTTTGACCCCTTGTGTCCATGGTCTTGTCCTTTGGGCCATTAGCCAAGCTCCATGGATGAGGGTAAGTATTGACCAGTAAATCAAGAGCTTTGCCTTTCAACTCAGCTACTTACTTGAACTCCTCCACATGAGGCAGGGACCCTCCCACCCACCTGGAGAGGGCAAGACACCTTTTTTCCAGTTGAAAACCATGGCCTTGGATTTAGAGGAGCTGATTTTCAGTGTATGTTTGTCCTGATTCAATGAAGCCATCAGAACAACATCATCTGCAAGCAGCAGAGATGAGATCTCATGGTCCTCAAACTGGACCTCCTCCATCCCTGTAAGTGCCTAGAAATTCTGTCCATAAAAAAAACATGAACAGATCCGGTGACAAAGGGCAGCCCTGGCTGAGTCCAGCGTGCACTGAAAACAGGTCTGACTTACTTCTAGCAATTTGAACACAGTTCCTGCTCCAGTCATCCAAGGACCGGACAGCCCTGAGCAAAGAGCCCCAGACCCCATAATCTCGGAGCACCACTCCTCCCACAGGACACCACAAGGTACATGGTCAAATGCCTTCTCCAGATCCACAAAGCACAAGTGGACTGGTTGGGCAAACTCTCATGAACCTTTGAACACCTGATGGAAAGTCTAGAACTGGTCCATGGTTCAGCATCCAGGACAAAAAAAACACTTCTCCTGAATCCAAGGTTTGACTATTGGTCAAATTCTTCTTTCCAGTACACAAAGGAACCTTAAGGTCTAACTTTATTCATCCTTTATTAAGGCTAGATAATGTGTTGTTATAAAGTGGTACCAGTTCATCTATGTATGTATGTCATCTTTCTGAGAAAACATTTAATAGAAAGCCCAATAAAAATAAAAAAAAGAGTCTGAGCAATTTGGTGATAGGAATTGATGTATGAATACTGATGATAAATTATTAAATACCATTTTCTACCAGTGTAACAGCCTAAAGTATATTATTGTTGTGATCATGTGTATTGTATTTGGTTTAGTCCTCACTGTAGCGTGTCTCTGCTCTCTCAACAGTGGATGCTGTTAAACTCAATGGTATTGTTGAACCTGACTATTTCCCACTTGAACAGTGAACATTTCAACCTCAGTTCCTGTAATCACAACCTAAAGACTGCTATTCCCTTCACTTTTACAGCGGCCTTTTCTGACAGCCTCAACAAATGACGGAGTGTAACGTGTGATTTCCTCCCAGGCACCTGTCCATTGTCCGTCTGTGTAGAGGGAAAACTCAGACACATCCACTAATAGTAGCCTATCATGTAGGCACTTTTATGGCAGACCACAGCCTTACCTTCAAATTACCTTAAACTTCATTCTCTGAATTCAGGTGACATGCATCATAAAAGCATAGTTGATGTTCACTTTCTGCTCTTTTCACTGTAATTGTTTTCCATCTTTTTTCAAATCGACACACCCTAATACTTTTACATAAACAAGATGAAGAAACGATCTTTTT